ACAATCAAGCAATATTGTCAAAAGATGAGTAGTTTTGTAAGCAGCCYAAAAGTAAGAAAATGAACATTGTGAAAATTTCCTGTGCAAGTTTGTCTCCAGTTAATTTTTCCCTCCTCTTTGCTGACCTTTTTTTGCACCTCTTGYAATCTCCCAATATGCAAACAAAAATGTACATCAATTTTCAGTCAACTTTACTCCCAAATAAGCCCCTGCAGGATTCTCTCCTAGTCTTGTAATTTTTTGATATGGAGAAGACGTGTGTGTTACCTGACTGTCAAAGAATGGCATGCTTTTTTGTAACCAACTGCTTTTTTGTAATGTCCTTGCTTGTAATGGAAGGTCCTTTGGAAACAGAGACATGAGATTTGAGTTGAAATTTCAGAAATGATCAATTATGTGCTCCAAAGAGTATCATGCTCCTCTAAAGCCTCAAAATGAGTTTATTTTAACTGCAGTGAGATAGAGAAATGCTTCCTTTTGGATAAAAAGATAAAATCTTACTCCCATTGAAGTTAAGATCTCTGTGCAGTCAGGATTGGATCCAGTCTCTCCCAAAATGGTTTCTGAGCATTCTCCATTGGAAATGTTTGATTATTCTTCTAGAGAAGTGTTTGCATTGAACTGAAAATAGGAAGATGACAGCAATACTTGGCTTTTATTCAGTGTTTTCTACCTATAAATACATTTTTCAAGGAAGGTGAATATGGGTTAGTAGATGAGTTTTGCAACACAAACAGATAAGGTGACTCGTGCAAAGTCACCTAGCAGGTGGTGGCAGGCCTTGGAGCAGGGACCCGTTGGTCTGGCTCATCCCCTGTATCTGACACCTTGTCATGACTCATTCCTGCTAATAGCTTGACTCATTTGCTCCACTGTTTCAAGCCAAATGTGCTCCTACAGCGGTAGGTAATTTTGCTCAATATATGGAGAGATAAAAGTGTCTATTTTTGCTCTGCTGTCTTTGGAGTATGCAGTGCTCCCAAGTATGTCCCTTTATACCCTACTCTTGTGTCTGTGTCAGTGCATGACTCAAAGCAGTTTGTCCCTTCTGTGACCAGTTCGTCATCACGCTACTCCTCAGTGTGCCTATAGCTCAAAGTGATCCCTATCGTCTTGTGATAACGGTTGTGAAAGTTTCCAAAAACAGAATTTCCTCTTGCCCACATCTTCTTGCCAACTCAGCTGTTTTATTTTTAACAGAAAGGCATGTTGACACGAAGCAGAAATATATATATATATTTTAACCTCTCTATTAAACATAAAAAGATGCTGTCTCGGAATAAAAAAGGAAAGGTGACCCTCGGTTATTTTTAAAGCTTCTAAAAATAGTCTGAAGCCTGTGACAAAACTTATTGAGCTGGAGTAGTTGTGGACAATGCCTTGCCATGGGTAGGATCATGCCTCCTAGTGCTTCTGGCTGGGATGTGCCAGAAGGGAGACTGGTTGCATAAAGATCTCTTAAAGGAATCAACTGAGGGTTGCTCTCTGGAAGGCTATAGAGCAGCATTTCCCAAATAGAAATAGTTTTTCTGGTGAACTTATATCTCTTTTCTCTTCTGGCTTGCAGCTGCCCTGGAGGTTGGGAGCCCATTTCTGCAAGCACAGCTTTGTTGGAGACCTGCATCCTTGGTGTGAGAACCGCTGGAGTGACAGGGTAATGAAGGGACCAGTGGGTTCTCCTGCTTTTCCAGTATAAAGGGAGAAAGAAGAACTGTTAATTTTGCCTTGTAAGCATAACTGATATTTGGTTGGAAGAAAGGGAAAACTTGGGTATTATTTTTGCTCAACATCCCTCCACTTTCCAGGTTATGGCACAACCACAYGTGCAGCTGATTCAGCCCCCAGCACCTCTGAGGGATAAAAGTCTCATCATCAGAGGAGGAAGGCAGGTGGGAGCAGAACTCTCCAAGGGGACACAATTTTACAAGGCTCCCACCCCTTCTTCCCTCCTATAGTGGTGGATTTTGTCTCCTTGCTTTGGTAAATGCCAGATGCACCATGTGCGTGTTCATGCCTGGTGAGGGGGAAAGATCTCTGGAGAACTTCTAAAAATTCTAAAAGATAAGCTAATTATTATTAAAAATGTTTATTGGTGAACTGGGGACTGCTAAAAAGCTTATATGGAGAAGAAAAGAGCATTATAAAGCTGGGGGAGATCTATTGTTTGCAGTTAGAAAAACTGATTTATTTCTTTCTACTTTGATACCTCTCCTGTAAAATGCATAAAAATACTATTTTTTTTCTCCCAATTTCCTTATATGAGTGTCTCTGTCAAAGTGGATGCTCTTTCTGTCTGACACTGCGCCTGCTGCAGCAGGGTCCGATTCATTTTTTGACACTCTATAGTAGAGTTTATATTGTGGCAACCCTTGTAACCATCAGGATAATAACACTGCTAGAAGCAGACCCAATCTGTCTGAAGTGTTGGGGCTTTAGATAACATCTGAATGAAAGGCTTGCCTGGTTTGGTGGCTGTCCTCTGCCTGTCACTGTCAATGTGTCCTGGTGATGTCAGGATGAATGATGGTTTAGCAAACGGGTAGTGATGTAGTCCTTCTCTAGGAACAAGCAACACTGTCCAAATGACATGTGTTCCAGGTATGTGGAAAAGAAGGGTGTTTGGCATTGTCTCATTCAATAATACAGGATATAGCAACTGGAGAAAGCGGTGTTTTTCACCCAATACTGTGTGCATACAGATGTGAACCCTAGAAAATACAGACCAGAGAAGACTGTTGGTTTTATTAATTTTTGTTTGTTATTTGCAGGAGAATATGAAACTTTATTAGTTCATTTGGCAGGAGGATACGAAGCTTCCAAGCAGAACGACTCATTGCTCTGTTTTTTTTTCCAGATGATGTTAGTGAGGCCCGGCTGGATCCGCTGGACTCCACAAGGTACTTTTGTTTATGGATGAAGCCATGCAGATGGGGATCAAAGGTTGGGCAGAGCTGCTGTAGAGCACACCAGGGCCACGAGAGGTCGGGCACTGGAGATTAATTTCTTGGCTGGTTAGAGCCAAAGTTTAATAGCAGACTGGGAAAGGACAGTGATTGAGTTTACTGCTAGCAGAACCTATAGTTCAGGTCAAGTAGAAGGAAGGAGCTAAGGGGCTCTGTGCGTTGGTTGCAGGAGCAAATCTAATGGCTTAGCAACATGTGGCCTCAACAAGACGTATTGCGGGCCCTGGCACGAGGGCTCTGTGCTGGGGCAGGGGGCAGAGCGAGGGGCTGCAGCCCCTGCTTCGGGTGCGTCACCTCTCGCCAGCCCGCGCGCCCGGGGCCGGGCTGATGCTCACAGCGAGGCAGAGCAAACGCACGCRGGGAGCCTCGTTAATGCCGCAGGACAACGAGAAAAAGCAGAAGGCAGCAGCGATTCCTAAGCAGGCAAAATGATCTCTTGGAGAGGCAAGAGTGTGAGGATGTATTTGCTTCACAGTTTTATTTATTTATTTATTTATTTTTTAACAACATAATTTAACTAACCCATGTGGATATCAAATTTCCCAGGATCAGGGCTGGGTAACCTGTTTTGGCTAAAACAAGAGCTGAGTTTAAACTGTGCTCTGAACACTCGCTTTTCATGCAACGATCCCCTTATTCTTTAGTTTCAAAGTTTTCAGATTTTTTTCTAAGTCATGCTCTTTATTTAACTCATTTAATCACACTGTGATTTTCCTCCTCCTGTCTTCCAAAATGCTTTCAGATTTTGTTTGCTTTTCTGTAACGCATTTAAAAAAATATGTAGTTGAGACAATTTTCTGTGAGTTTTCATGTTTTATTTTCAATGAAGTTAGGCTGTATATTGTTAAAACAAGATGACTCAAGGCAAAGGATTTTGCAGATTGATTTTATGCTGGTATCTGCTCGGTTCAGAGACCCTGGCTGTGTGCAGGAGAGATGTGGTGCCAACGCTCGCCCTGCTTTGCTCCCACAGTTGTCTGTACACAGAAAATTTCTCTTTCCTCTGCAATTTGCCCTGGAATTTGCAGCAGGAAGGCTGGGTGCCCACATCACATGCAGGACCCAACCATGATGCAGATACCAGGGGATCTCCCAGCCATGCAGAAAGCATTAATCTGGTGGAAATCCTTGTTCTGTAGCCCCAAGTTGAACATTTATTAGATCTGCTGTCCTGCGTTGTGCTCTTTATCTTGGAAGTCTCCCAGATAATGTGAAGTTTAGCTGTTGTTCACCTCATCTCCTTTTTTGGTGCAGAAGCTGCACTAAACGTGAACTGAGTGACATGGATTTGCTGATTGGGCACAGATGGGATTCCTCTCCCAAAGTGCTGGTGTTGTCTCCATTCATTAAACTAACCACAACAGCTATTGACACGACTCTGCAATGTCTCCTGCTGAGTTTATTTTAGTTTTTTATATAGCATTGCTTGTTGGGTTGCAAAGAATGACCCTGTGTAGCAATTAGGATCACCACTAGAGACTGGACTTCTGTTGCAAGCGGAGAAGGGTCYTTCACATCTCAGGTGAGCACTGTGATGAACTCATAGAGGCTTGCAGTTCTCTTTGCACATTCTTGTGAAAGGTGTTTGGCTTTGCCCTTGCATACAATAAGGAAAATGCTGGGTTTTCTTCTCTTTTTAATTAATTCAAAGGATGTTTTTCTTGTTCAGTTCATCTTAGAAAGATACAAGCATCTAAAATGTTTGTGTGGAAGCCATTGAGATAACAATAACTTTGGTTCTCTTGAAAAAAGTTTTGGAGAGGATTTTAAATTTTGTGAATCCACATTTGAATCAATCCCTGACCTTATCCTGTACCTTTGGGAGAGAAAATCACCGCAGGATTGTCCACTGGTCACCCTGTTCCTCATTCTCCYGAGCATCTTGTAATAGCTGCCATCAAAGACAGGACAGTGGTATGAACAGAGTGATGTCTGATCTAAGCAAACTCTTATTTGTTGAGTTTCAGTGGGACATATCATTTTTAATCAAACTTTTCTCTTCCTCCTTTTTCCCCTAGACCTCTGTGTTTCCACTGAGTTTCTTGAACAGAGATGCCACCAGAACTGTGAAAAACCCTCAAGGAATGGAAAGAGCCCTGTCGTGGAGGCAAACAGGTATGCACCTTCTCTGATTTGCTAACTATCTGCCTTTCCTTGGATTTTTCACTTTCTGCTAACTTTGTTTAGTTATTCCTGAGTCTTCTATGCTTTCTGCTTTGTATTTWGTTTGTGGACTTCTTTTTTTACCCACGGGATAAAACTAGACCTGCCCTGAGCTCATCACAGCCTGGCTGCTGCTTCAACTCTTCATCCTGCCTTAGAAAAACACTGTTATAGTGGTGTTTGAGAAATCTGTACTGTGTGAGACAAGGAATTAAGTATATCCATGATTTTACAAGCATAAACACAGAGGACAGCACTCCTATGAAAAGTCAGATCCCTAGTTAAATTTATGAGTGAACCTGATGGAGATGGTGATCAACATTGTAATTTCAGTGCTAAMCCACTTCTCAACCCAAAAGTCTGCCCAGTTTTATCAGTCTTCCAGCCCCACCTGAGCTAGGCTTTTATTTGATCTGAAGTGTGTGGTACTGGTTGCCTTTTAGCAGAGTAAATCAAATTGGATTGCACAGTATATAGTTTTAAAATGAGATATATTACTCTCATTGCCCTGGGTTACTGTGCATGTTCTCCCTCTGCCTGCAGATCACTCACTTTCACGAGCAGGTCTCCAAGTTTGGGATTCAGCCCCTTTGCCTGCGTTTTTGGCCACAGGAGCAGGCTCATTAAGGTGCCTCCCTGCAAATCCTCCTCTAATTGCTCCAAGCATGGTGGCCACGAAGCAGAAATCCAGTTGGTGAACTCCGCAGCTTGTGGACAACTTTTCTTGCCAAGCCTGCATTATGAAGGGCTAATTGTAAAAGCGCTGCACCTGCTGACTCCCTTGGTGGCTGGAGCCAACAAGAAAAAAAAATAGTAATTTATTAATGATCAAGTCACAAATAGTAATGAAAACAATAGGAGCATCTGAAGGAAGCGCTGCCGGGGGCAGAGGTGCAGGTGCTCTGTGCCCTGAACAGGCTTGTCGGCATTTTTATAAAGCTACTTTACAACCCTTATCAATTTCCTACTGCTTTCTGTGTACCCCCTGCCCCTTTGCAAATGTTTTGCCTGCACAACAGGATCAGCATTTCTTGTTGTAGGTGATAAAATAGCTGTCACCCTGCGCAGGGAGAAAGGAGGGAAGAAGAAAAAAAATAGGTAGGTCCAAGGAAACAAAGCCGAGGAACGCTTTTTAGAGGAAACAAATGAGTGTTAATGGAGCCGCTGAGTCGGCACGAGGGGAGAGGTGATGTGATCTTAGCTGGGAAATGCTGAAATATTTGGGGTTACAAATGCTGGAGGCCAAGAGAAACTCATTGCTTAAACTAGGGCAGCACTCTGTGTATATCCTTGGTTTTCAAAGGTGACCAGCACATGCCTCAGTCTACAAGGAGTTTGGGATCTAGTGACTCTGGAAATCTCAGCAGTGGTTTAAATCTCTGCATTGCACTGGCTAGCCTGAGGAAAACAGGAGGCAGGTGAACAATGCTAATTGTCACAGCTTTTTCCTATGATTTTGGATGTTTTACACAGTCATACCTGGTCACGCTGTGTCTCAGAATACAGTGTTTTGAAATACTGTGATAATATGGCTTTACTTCTATGTATAAATGAATGTAAAATGTTTGAGAAAACCGTATGGTGAACTAAAGAACTAACTCAAAGTCTGCACATTGAAAATGTGTCTTTCATCTGTGATTTGCCCTGGATACAGTGTCTGGAAATAGGGCAGCTGATCATAACTTGCAGAAGGACAAGAAACATAATCAGGTCATGATAGGTGCTCGTCATGCCCAGGAGGCAGGTTAGAAAGGGTATGATATGTGTAATGTTAAAGTTTGAATTTCCTCTATTCTGACCATCAGACACATGGCCTTAACATGTTACTTTTCCCTCAAAAAATGTGCTAGAAAGCATTAATGCAGATATCAGCATGACAAATCTTGTTCTGTGAGTGGGCTGCAATTCTGTGAGAGTGTTCCAGAGTGCATCTGTCACTAGCACAACTTAACTCAGCTTGCAATGAAGGAAAGCTGAACTTTGTTGAAAATTCTTGCCTTGCCATGCTTTAAGGTTTTATACATGTACATTTGCCATGGCTTAGTAGAAATCTGGAGACTTTCTAAACTGTGGGAACATGCGTGTTTGCCTGAGCCCCTAAAACGTTCACATTTGTCTGCTGGTCTCAAAATGACCAGTTCTGAAAAGATTGCAGGTGTAGATCTCTCAGCAGAAAGGAATTAAACTGAAAATTCAGCCTGGATCTTTACCAAATGAGTGTGGGCCCCATGTCCTGCACTGACTGATATCCGTAGGTGTAATAAGCTGACACACTGCAGGCATCAAGGAGCTGCAGCTGTGGCTGCCCCAGCGAGCACAGCAGGCCAAAACCTCCAAAGAGTCACTGCATTTCTGTGTTCAGGGGGGAAAAAATAAGAGAGGCTCTTTTAATTAATTTTAACGGAGACAAGAGAAAAATTATCTGCAAGAGAGAAATTAATGTCTCCTTTTCTATGAGCCAGATGCAGTTCTCTCACTAACTGAGTGCTGCGCTTGGTGTGTAGGAACTTCGAAACTAAAGCACCAAAAGCATCATAGTTCCCTGTTTCTTATTGCTATTCCTGTGCTTTCATTCAGGAGCAATCCTTACTTTAAATAATAAGAAAAATACATATATGTTGTTTTTTCCCCTAAGGAACTAGAAGGCTTTCACTTTAATTTTGGAATTTTGGGTAATTAACATGAGTTCAGGAGCTGTGCCTTTCAAGAGCTATAGATAATATGGTGTCTAATACAGTGGTAAGGATTCTATTAGTTCTTACCACTAGGTAAGGACAGCTAGGAAGAGCTGGCAGTGCTAATTATTGCCCAAAGTTTTGAGGAGGGACCAGCATGGAGTTTGGATGCAGTAACATAACTATAGTGGCATGCAGCATTAGTGCTTGAGGAAAAGTGAAGGCAAGTCTGATGTATCCTATAATGAGGGGAGCATATTCCTCTCTCTAGTAACTTACAAATTTTCACCTTTTGTCCTCTACAAAATTAACCTCTCATTTCCTCCAGCCTGCTGACCAGGTGCRTAGATATAGGATTTTAATCTTCCCTAGTGAAAAATGTCCCTGCAAATCTGTCCATCAGAGCTCTAGCAGTATTATTAATAAAGTTCTCCCTAACAAAAATAGGACTTTTGGAGCTCAAATAAGGCTGTTTTCCCTGTTAACCAGCTGAGCTGTTTGGCTGTGGACAAACACAGTGGATGACGGGTCAAGGATGGAGCAGGCTGACTTCTCTCTGAGCTTGGCCTTGCCTCTGGTCCGACACGTGAAATGACAGGAGCATTAAGCAGTTGTTTATCTGGGGGAGCTGCGCTGCATTGTCCCCTGGCCRAGGTGGCACCTCGTTCTGCAGAGCTGCTGGGATAAAGGCTCACGGAGGTGTCCCCTCCATGGACAGGTCCTGTGTATTCACCAGGGAGCAGGATCCTGGCACGTCTGCAAATYGCCCACCTATGGAACAGCATTAACTGACTATGAAAATGCACCTGAGGGGTTCAGTGCTGTTGAAGGCCTAATGTTCTGGAGAAGATGCAGCATGGAGGATTAAGTGATTTCTGCTGTTCAAGTTCTTCTGGCATCAGAACTCTCAGGAGACTTTCTCTTGTGCAGCTTCCAGATTCTTTGTAGCTAGATGCACTGAAGCACATACATTTCAGGTTTCTCTGTAGCTGGAACTATAGGAGCAGCTTTGATTTTTACCCTCATATTGCAGGGGGTGCTGGAGGAATAGTAGCCAATAGTGCATGTTGTGAACAGCCACTGTTCAYTTTGGGGAAGTTTTACCGAATGGCAAGAGACTGCAGACTAAATCTCTGGAAAAGAATGCATGCATAATCCATCATGCCTGTACATTAATCTGTCTAACCTTCAGCTGCAATTACAAAAGCTTCTGCTTCTTTAAAAAACAGACCTTTATTTAGAAAAACAACCTCACTTATGGTGATGAGAAATAAGAATAAAATGGGAATGGAAGAGCATTTGGATTAATTTGTAGAGGCAGCTTCATASAAGTGAGCACGTGCCCTGATTTTTGCATCCTTTTGGAGCAGCAGTAGAGATTAGATTAGCTGGCAACGTGGGAGCAGCCGAGATTTGTCCCTGAGAAACATTAACTCTGCAGCCCTCAGTCAAGTTACAGAAATTCATATCTGTTACAGTGAATGATTTTGTTATAGTATCAAAGAAAAAGATACCAGTTGTTTATTTCATTCATGGTTCTGACTGCAAGTTCGCTTTTAGACTTGAGAAGTTGTGTGTTACTGAAAAGTGCAGCTAATGTTAGGAGGCCYTTGATCCATGGTTTTCTAATGGAGATGTGAAGAGATTCTAAATAGCAGAAAATCAAATGTGGATTTTTGTTTCTGGAAAAGCTTTGCCCAAAGCTCTCCTCGTTATCCTGATGTAAGGGGGAAGTGCTGAGAGAGGCAGGAGCTGATCAGGTCTGGTGACATCCCCACGTGTCTTGATTTGAGCAGAGTGGCCTCAGGAGGTGAGAGATCACTTGTGGCTTGGAAAGGGAGTTGGAGAAGTCCCATCCTGGTTCTCTTCTCCAAGGTCAGTGATCTTTACAGTTTCTGGTGATTTGGGGGAATGTGGTATGAACAAGAGATTGGGGTTAAAAATAGACTGGACTCATRGTCTAGCACAACGGACCTGGATCACAGACCTGGATCGTCTGGGTGTCCCTGCACAGCAAAGGGATTTGGGGTGGAGGGACGCGAGGCCCACGATGTATTTTCATTAGTGGCTGTTTAAAAACGTTAYGTGCTCCCTTTTTTCCATCATGACTCATGGTTTAAAACTACTGCCCTGGGGCATAAAAATCCACTCCTAACAACTTCCAGTGGGACCGCTATTCCATCAGTGTTCCCATCAAACCTTGACTCCGTGATTAATATTCACCCTCTTTCTTTGTTAATCATCAGTCTTCATTCATGTTTTGTAACTTCCCGCTGACAGGAGTGGTGTTCCTGGAGCAGCTGGTAGGGAAAACGGGAAGAGCTGAGCTGCTGCACACAGCTGCAAAAGGAAAATGTCACTTTGCTGCACTGCTTCAGCTCAAAAWGGCTCCTCAGGATGCTCTTTTTTCCTTTCTAATCCTAGGCCTGGAAGCAATGGGATTGCACTTTCAGTAGTGAGATGGGAATTTAATACAATGCATGATTTACAATGCATGTATTTAATACAATCCAATGAGCTGCTGCACAGCTTCACCTGGCCTGTTGTTGGACTCTGTAATTTACCCCAGGAACTACAATAGTGAAGAACAAACTGCCAGAACTTGATTCATCAAATTGAATCTGTACAGGCACTTAAAGACCATTTTGCTATTCACATTTGTGCTAGAATTTGTGAATTGGAGGTCCACTCCAATTKCCTCCCCTTCCCGAATGACCTAGGACATGAGACTAAATCTCTTSCTTACTGCCCTACAAATTAATTGAGGATAGTTACTGTTTTTTCCTTTGATCTGTCTCTCTGGGTAGTTGAAATTGTCCGTCTTGCAGAGCAGGAACCCCCTGATGTCTGCCTGAAATGCTGAATAAACACGTCAGTCTGGTAAACAAGAGGTTAATATGCACTCCTCAAAGAGGTGGTGCAGGTGAGTCCACCTTCTAGAAAGTGTTCCTGCAATTTCCACGACCCCTCTTAGCTCTAGTAGCTTCATACGGTAACTACAGTCCCAGACTTAAGATTCACCCCTCGAGATGCTTTGTAACGTGTTTTGATTTATTTGATAGAAATGCTGAATAAGATTCTCACTGTGCTCATAGTAGTGTAAGCAATAAAGAAGCAACCAAAAGGGATAGATTTAAACTATTAAATCTAAATCCTGCTTTGGTTTATCTTGCTCAGACACATCATAAACTCTGCGTGAATGAACATTTAGGACAATGTATTGAATAGAGAGAAAACAAAACCAAAATTCCCAAGATAGGCTTGCAGGTGAGAGTTGTTATGCCTTTATTCTGGTAAAAACACATCATTTATATGCAGCTTGTCAGGGTGGGGGGAAAAAGGTTTGTTTCTTTAGCTTAGAGAACCATATTACCTTGACTACAGGTCTTGAACCTGTTTTCTGCCAATTTTTAAGGTAAGTCCTTATAAAAGAYAAATATTATGACAAATAAGGACTACATCTTTTGCAATACTGATGAGTGAAGAAGCTGTTGACTGTGGAAGAGATCTGGTCTCATTTGAGTGACTGGTTTAGGCAGGATTAAAATATAGGAGAATGGTAGGTGGTTGCAGTGCAGGGTTGGATGAGGAGTCCTGTAACTTTTGCTATTTCAGTCAAAGKGCAACTAATTTTTATATTTGGTAGAAGTTTGAAATTATTAAAGAGAGGCTAGGAATAGAGAAAGTTTCCATCTATGTGGGATATMCTTGGAGAAACATGGATAGATATGACTGATTGGGAAACCTGGATGGTCCAGCATCAGAGTCCTCATTACTCACAGGGTTTTGCTTTTTACTCTTTAAAGAAGATTTTGCCTTAAAGCAGTCTTCCTTTTTTCTTCTTTCCCACTTTCCACAAAAACATAGGAAGGCTGCTTTCTAAACCTGTATCTTTACTCATCCAGAAAATGACTTCTCTCCCAGTATTCCAGCTCACTGTATGACCCTCAGGAAGCTATTTCCCTTACTGCACACTCTCAGCGCACACAATCTCAGCCTTGGATGTGGCAGGGGACATCCAGCCACCCTCCTGCTGCCCAGCGTCACAGAATGTGGTGGCACCAGGCAGCCCTGCAGGAACCATGGGCATGAGTCTCTCCAGACAAGATGGCTCAATGGTGGACACGTCTTTTTTGTTGACAGGACGTTTTGGTGTCGCTGGTCTCCTTGGCATGCCCAAGAAGGTAGAGAACTGGCTAATGGGAGGAAATATGCTTGAGTCAGTCAAGATGAAAGAGGAATTAGTAATGATTTTTGAGTGTATATTTTTGGAGCCAGCCACTGGGCAGTTCCCCACTAGGCCTCTTAAGCAGGATGAAAGAAAAACCCTGTAAATACCTCCTTATCATCCAGAACTGTGAATACAGAAAGCAACACATTAATGCTCATCAGGCAAGGGCAAGACCTTTGTGTCAATGTTCATTAATGGAACAAAAGTGCTGCGGGGTCCTCCCCGGGCTGGTAAAACCCCATTGTGCTGGTGCAGGAAGGGCTGCAGCCCCAGGGGCCAGGCTGTCTACTGGGAAACGTGGAGGAGTGTAAATAGAACCAGCCCGTTCCTTCCTCCTCTTCACTCGTGAATAACCCAACGTACTGTCTTGAATAGCCCCAATAATGTCTAAATGCCACAGCAGAGTCAGGCTGGCCGACCACCCTCTACTTCTTAGGCTGTTCCTTGCATGCACGGGGGGCAGCAGGAAGAGGTAGCTCCAGAGCAGATGTGGATCAYAGGCTTTGCAGCAGTGTCTCTTTTGGTGGCAGAAGCGAGGGATGCAGAAATGTCCAAGGGCAGCAATCCCACCCAGCAGCTTCCGTGAGCACAGGCCCAAATGTGCCGGGCTCCGAGCCAGCTCCATGAATGCTCCCGTTTGGAGCAGTGCTACCTTTCAGSAGGAGTGAGGAACCTCCGAGCAAATGCAGCACAGGCTGGAGCAAGAGCTGCCATCCCTGCAGCATCAGCCCTCCTTTGCCATGGGGCAGAACACCAGGTTGTTTCCCTGCTAGACTCCTTTGATCCCAGCTTGCTGCAAGGCCGAAGCTCTCATTTGATCAACATGAAACAAGAAGCAGTTGAGCTCCTGGCTGCACYAGGAAGAGCTTTCCTTTCTGGGTAGTAAATCTACAGTAATGTGCTCTTACAGCTTTATTGGGAGTTATCAAGTGTTTATTCAAAAGGCATTTCCTTGCATTCAAAGTTCTTCTAATTGGGCAGCGAGAGGTARTGTTCTCTCTGAATGGACTGTTATTGCTAAGGTAAAATTTGGTGTGTTTATAGTCGAGAGCCTGTCCACTTTGCTAATTTGCTGGGTGGAGAGAGGAAGTGGGACCGGGCTGGCACAAGGTTTCCACCGAGTGGAGTTTTAACAGTGCCATTTATAGACTCAGCTCTGCCCCAGGATGCTTGCAGCATGTCCTGCATCACCTCAGAAACTCCAGTGAGATGAGACAACCTGTGCAGAAAAAAACCATCTCCTGCCAGGAGCTCCTGTGCTGCCTGGTGCAACGTGTGAGGAGACGCTTTAGATGCRGGATGTGGTGACACAGGTGCATTTCTGCAGCCCTCAAGTGACAGGGACAGGGTGACCCCGGTGTCTGCTCGTGCTTTTGGGGGGAGGCAGCAGTGTGGCACAGCCGGAGCGTCTCGCAGGGCTGGGTTTTAAGGCCATCCATCATGCCCAGGGGATCGCCTGCAGGCCCTGAACTGCARAACCGGCACCTGGGGAGGTGCTCAGCTGTGAAAAGCCACTTGGTAGCACAGCCTCAGTGCAGGCCGAAAATAAAAACTGCTGCATCGCTCTGATTTTTAAGGAGGAAAGGGGAAGGAAACGCAAGCCACTAGTCTGAGTTACAGGTTTGGGCTGAGGTGGTGGCCAGGGGGTTGTGGCTTCCTCCGGTGGAGTGTTGGGCTTGGTCTGGTTTTGGATGCAGCAGGTCTAATTTCTGAAGGCCTCTGGACATGGTGATCCAGGCTTTGCACCTCCTGCATCTTCCCAAGGTACCTGCTGACTTTGGCCTGAAGGTTTGGAAGTGAAGCAAAGTTGGATCAAGAAACAGTGGGTGACTTTTCCTCATTTTAGTTCCTCGTCCTTTGGTTTGCATCAATTTACTGATTTGCAAGAGGAAGGGATTGCGCAGACACAAGATGAGGCTTAATTAGTGTGCAAAGTGCTTCAAGATCCTTGACAAGAGGTGAAATAGATGCGGGGAGCACTCCCTCCTCCTCCTCGGAGGCTGTGTTTCTGTAATGGTTGAAGTGACCCCTAAAATATAATATTAATTCTGCAAAACACTTGGGGCTTCTTCTGAATCAAAGGTGCTATGCAAATATATTCTCCCTTTCCCTCACCAGTCCCTTTGAGCCAGGCAGTCCACCATTAGTGGCGATTCTCATTTAATCAGGATTCAGCCTTCAAATTTTCTGCAACTCCATAGATAAATAAAGCAGCAGCCGTAGTTGATCATTTATTTATAAATCTATTTATAATCTATGTTTTGCATATTAATCAAAACCACTCCATGTGGCAATTCCTGATTAAGAACCATTTTTATGTCTAGTCTCTCTTGCCCCTAGATAATATGCAAAGAATTAGATTAGAAATAGTTTTTATAAATAAATTATGATAAACTGCTGCTTTATTTATATAGCCAGACAAAGGTGTTGCTCTTTCAAGCACTGGATTTCTTCCTCTTTCTCCTCATACTCCCATCTTCAGAGTACATTGATTGTGGTACTCAGAGGTCTTTTGACTGTGGACTTCTTGCCTTTGGATGGAAAAATGCTCCTTTCCACACAGGTGAGATGGTCTGAGGCCTAACCAGAAGGCTGCTGTTGTAAGAAGGATTTAAGGAGTTCAAGCCACCTTCTGTGCCCACGAAAGGTAAATGAAGTTTATGAATTCAGGAAGCATCTCACAAGGTTTTGAGCTGCCCATATGATGGGAGTAACTCAAGCTCCTGCTCGGGCAGCAGGCCCTGCCTCGGGGCCATCGCTGATTTTGAGGACACGAGTGGAATTGTGAAGGTGCCGCTTGTCAGCCATGGCCCTCTGGCATGGCTGGCATTGGGGCCACACAATGTGGGAAGGTTGGAGCCCTCKAGGAGGGTGTCATTGAATGACACCTTGATGTCACATAAGTAACTGGCTCAGCAAGCTGGTTGTCATCTCTAAATGTCTTCCTAGGGGCTTATGTCTGTTCAAGCAGATGTGTTTGAGAAACAGGGTATTGGCATGCATAAAATATAGTTGCATGCTGATAATGTTGCATATGTATTTGAATTGACCTTAGTGGGATTACTGAAATGTTTTCRTTTAATCTCATTTTCTTCTTTTTTTAATCAAGATTCTTAGTCTAGGGTTCCGATTCTGTGCATGTTACCTCATGCACAAGCATGTTAGAGCCTCACAGAAAGCAAACACRGTGCTGCAACAAGTTGGCAAGTCTTAAGGGAAGCTGTAACATATTTTTGGTACAACACTGAGCAAGACTTTTTCTTTCTTTTTGCTCTATGAATTGGGAATAATAATGATTTCCTATGTTATGGGAATGAAAGAAATAGTTCCATGAAAGACATATTTACTTAAGAGAGAATTCTGGATACAAGTGAATCATTCCGAAGGTTTTTACCATGCACCTGAGGCCTTCCCAATTAGAAGGGATGTGATATGGCGTGACCAGTCATTGGAGCTCTTGTGCCGTAGGGTGGATGATTCCTAGGGTCTCCAAATAGTTTGTTTAAATGCAGCTTGCCTAGAGAAAGCAACTGGATGTGTTGCATAGAAAGCAACTATGTTCAGTCTTGCAGACATTGACTCATAAATACATAGTTTTGAGGTGTGCTACGTAGTTTTGATGTTTTATATTGTTTTTGCAGCTCTGTTTTTGAACGCTGAAGTTCTTGTGTAGCTACCCCTTTGGGAAGTGGAAGCAGCCCTGTGACAGCTCTTCAGAATTTCACAGGTTCCTAAAGCAGAGGAGAAAACACTTGTTGAGAGTCATTCCTCCATCAGCCTAGAATTCATTTCTGTAAGATATTGCAACAGAATAATTCCAGGCAGTAAACTGAGGCTAAGAAATTTTGTTGTGAATTGTTTGTTCAGCTTAAGTTCAGCCAATGCTGAACTTTTAATTTAAAGAAGTGTTGTTTTTGAGCAGTGGTGAGCTATTGCAGCCTGGCCCTTCCACTCATTAGTGCTGAATGCCCCAGGCTCAGAGCCCTCACCGTGCTACGTGCGCGACCGCAGCCCTGCTCTACATGATGCTGGACAGGGCACAGTGCGTAGGCCCAGGCCCTGCTGTGTTTTATCTTGCTTAATGAACCCCCTCTCTTCTATAACTTCATTGCCCTCTGTGTGTTCTGGGCTCCTTAATTACATTCTGTTTGGCAGCCAGGATCCTTTTATTATTTTTATATTTTTAAATATTACCAGATTCCCAAACCATTGCTATCTACAGGCAGCAGCTCACAATTACTGAACCACAAACAAGGCATATGAAAATGAAGACAAAAGGACAACTTTAAAGTCAACCTTTACTTCACCTCCATAAAGACATTTAAAACTAGAAGTTCTGCTGTATTTTCCCATTACCTTTTGAAGAAGGACATGAGATGTCTGCACATCTGCTGAATATGTTCCCGAGGCCTGAGGGCACAGCCAAAAGACCAAAGCTGGAGCCTAAATGAAGACATGGTGTGAGATTAAGTTGCTGGGTTGTAGTTATGGTCTTTGGCAATGCGATTTCTGTTAAATTATCCTGTTAATGAAGATGTTTCCCCTCTGCTTTGATTGCTAGATTGCTTCTTAGTTAACCTGTGATRACCATGCTCTCTTCCCTGCTCTTGTGGCATGGTTTGATTTCACTACCCAAAGCAAACTTTCCAACTCAAAGCCACTGCACCATTGAGCTTCCAAAGCAAGACAGGTCTCCTCATGAAGCTCTAGATGCTCCTTTGTACTGGCCTGCAGGAACATCTAGTTTGTTGGGAACATTTTGCCAAAGTGGAAGCAGTCCTGGCTTTCCACATGCAAAATGTTAATGCAAATAAAGTCACCATCCTTAACCAGGAGGCTGTTATGTACATGCACTTCATGTTTATTCACTGTAGATGTACCTGAAGCAGAGAAGGAAATGGGTGATGCTGGCAGCAATAGATTGCACATTGCTTTTAAATAAGTGGGTTGGATTGCTTACAAAGGAGGGGGAAATGGCACCGGCCACTTGCTGAGCTCAAGCAGAAACTCAGCCTGTTGCAACACCTGTGTTGTGCCAATCAGTGGCTRGTGATGTGACCCGGGTTAGTCTGGACTGCCTGCCTTGGTAAGCTGTCCTTTCTGCTTTGACTCCTGCAGAGGGAGGTGTGAAGGTGGGAGCTGCATGATAGAGTTAACCTAAAAACCCTGTGTAGCCCCTTTCTCAAGGGGCTTAGGGAGTGCAAAACACCTGGTCTTTCCCTCAATGATGGTCATCTGAAGATCCTACAGAACAGCAAGAACATCCAAGCTGGTGGGAAGCAGAAGGGAGGAGAGCAACGTGTTCCCTGGTGAGTTGGTGCTTATGTAATCCTGGAACATGCTCCTTTTCCATTAAATTAGAATATTACTCTTTGTAGGTGAAACTGCCTCTGGAGGGATCATGATTTATTGCTGTGCTTCTTTTGATAATTGGGAAATGGAGAAAACCAGGTGCTGGGCCAGCGGGGAAGGAAACTTGCTGTTCTCTCACCCACAGCCCTTTCTGCAGCCTCTCACCACTTGGAGAGCCCTGTCCTCAATGTGGCCATCTCACAACGTGCTGAGCCTGGGAGCAAGGTGCAAGGAACTTCACAGCACTGCTGWAAGCCCCCTCTGAAATGCTCTTCTGTAACACAGCCGCAAGGAAGCAGCCCAGCAGTTGGGGCTTTCGCTAAGGATGGTCCATGGAGCATGGAGTCCTGAGGAAAACAGAGGAAGGTGGTGGGAAGGAGCCCGTTTCTTAAAGGAATGACATGCCTGCTCCTTAGGCTATCGCTACCGCATGGAGATGTGAGAGAAGACAAGGCAAGCTGGTTTGGGGGGCGGGAGAAATCCCTCCAGTTGAGATGTCTTTCTTCAGAGTCACCTGAACCTTCCAGCATCCGTATGAAGATGCAGGACCTGCTGTGCACAGAGCAGAGTGCAGCTGGACTGGCACCGCTCCRCCGTGGCTGTGGTGCAAACCTAGCCACTCTGGCAAGACATTTATTAATAAGCACAGACATCACCTTACCTGAATTTGTGGCCTATGCTTCTTGCTGGGGCATTTTTAGGTTGAACTAATAGTAGAGCTCCTTAAAGGAAGCTCTGTAGTGACCAGAGCTTCCTTGCTGTGGAATTTGTATTTTCAGTTCCGTCCTTCTGAAGAAACATTACAGAATATAAAGCGATGAGGTGCTGCTGTCTATCTGAGAGATTAAGCAACGGTGTTTGCTCGCTCCCATGGGATGTTAACTCTGAAGCCTACAGATGAATTTTGCTTCAGTGATTTGTTTCCTGATAAAATGATTCACAGCTCTCCTATCCATCTGCCACATCTAGAGGTGCAAAGTTTTTCACTTGAACACTATGGGAAAGCGTCTTTTCTTCATCTTCACCTAGTTTAAATTAGCTTTATTTTCCAATGCCCTTTTCACTTCCTCTTTTTTTTTTTTTTTTTTTTTTTTTTTTTTTTTTTTGCGCATCATCTTCATGCACCCATGGTACCTAACATTAACCTCTGCTCAGCAGGTGCTGTAGAAGGCAGCCCTGGTATCCAAACAAATTTTCCATGTGGAAAACAGACCTCAATGTTGTCTTACAAAAGGAATCTGCTGGCCAGCTTTCGTTATCGTGTTTTTTTCTTTTAATGGATCACTCAGAAAATAAGTGGCACTTTTAGCATCCATTAACTCTCACTTAACTTATGCTAAATAGCCCTTGAGCACCTATGGACACACTTGTGAGAGCCGTGTTAACACCAGGCCAATTCATTAGAAGTGGGACTATTACTTCCAACATAAAATGAATTCATAATGATGGGAAAGGTAAAAGAAAGGCTTACCAAAAAATAATTGGTAGCCTGTTAAGTATCCATTAATGCAATAGCACCACGCTCCAACTTCAGCAACAGCAGATGAAATCTCTGGGAAGACRAGTCATTGTTCTATTGTTCTTTTTCCTTTTTGTTTTTTTTTTTTCCACAGATGTTGCCTTCTCCTGGTTGCAGTAGGTGGGTGACTATTTTCTTACTGTGGCAGTAGAGCTGTTCGATCCAGCTGAGCCCAGATTCCTACCTACAAACACAGAGAGGGTCCCTGCCCTGCAGAGCTTGCAGACTGTCAGGGTAACTGCAGAGCTTGCAAACTGGTAAAACAGAGGTCCCCAGAGAGGGAGACACTCGCTCAGTGGCACAGAGCTGAGCCACAGCTGTGACCTGGCTCCTGTCTCCAACCCATCACTCTGTTTGCTTCTCTTAAGGCAGGGAGAAATGTCTTTTTCCTAAAATCAAAAGGAAACCAGAAGYCAAATTTTAGCTGTTATCCTGACTCAACCCCCGCAGAGTCTTTGTTCGTGGCCCTTTTGCTGAACTAGTCACCATGATCTCAGGTTATTCCTGGTTTTACCCCATGGATGGGCTGYTCCCGTTGAGTCAATGTTCCCTGGGGATTTGCAGCTGCCAGATTCTGACATAAGGCAGTGCTGATYGTGGCCCAAAGTGGGGCTCGCTCTGATGGGAGGCCTGGGAAGGGCCACATTCCTCAGCTGCAGCCTRTGCGGTGCCCAGCAGCTGGCACCTCTACCTGCACCACTGTCCTGCTGGACCAYCCGAGCATCTTGAGGAGCTTCCTCCAGTTCATTCCTTACTCAGAGTCAACGGGGATGATCTCAGCCCATCTCACATCCAGAACTGGTACAGTGGGGACAGTAGCTTATTTCTCTCTACAGCATATGAGGGATGCTCAACACATTGCATCTCTCGGCACCCAACAACTCCAGTGCACAGAGGCAAACCCCTCCGGCAGCGCTGAGATCCTTGTGCTAGCAGACCTCCTGTTGACCCCGGACGGCTCCTCTTCTTTGAGGGTCCCTCTTTTCTTTTTCCCTTTCTTCTGTCTGCTGTTGCTCACATTTCCCCCCTCACGCTAATTTTACAGGCACGCTGGGGACCAYGTGCTTTGCCACATCACAGGAGAAACCACAGGACTTCACATCAGAAGCGCTGCCAGATGGATCTGCTCATGGCCCACCACAGYGCGGGGACATCACCCCTCTCCAGACAGGAGGCTTCAGGAGAAACGAGTGTGGTTTGGACAAATCATTGGTTTTGTTCCTTCTAAAGTTTGGAGATTTTTTTTCCCCTTAATTGTTGCAGTTTTGCTGCAATTCTTTGAGGTTCAGGTCGCCTCTCTTCAGTAAGGCTGAGCAGTAGCCTCGTGATGAGCTCTTTGCCTCCTGGTGCACTTTGCAATTTTGAGTCCAGAATTCAGACTTTGAGGACTTCACCTGCTTGGGGAAAACATGGTGTTTGTGTATGTGTTGCATTGTTGTAACATATTTTGGTACTTCAGTAGAGGTTGTTAAAAGGTAAGGGWTTTTTTGCAATTGGTTTCTTCAGGGAGCATCTCAAGACCAGGTTGCTCTTTGTCTCCGTTAGTGAGCTGGAAGCCACATCTCTCTACAGTCTACTGGGGTGCCTTTGCTTTTGTGTTTGTAGGAATGGCAGGCAGAAATACATGGCTCCATTTTTAGGACTCTGCTTGATTATCTTTGCCTTCTTTGGAAAGGTGAATTAAGAATTGTTGTTGTTATTTTGGTTTGGTTTTGGTTTTCTGGAGGAAACAGCTCCCACTGATTTATCTCAGCAAAAAAGACACCTTGCAAATTTATATTTCTGAGACTACCTTTCCAACCTGTTCATGTCCACATCTCTTGTA